TTGTTTACATTAACATTTAGACCAATTTCATTGTATGATTGAACAGATTCTATATGGCAGCTTTTAATTAATTTACTCAATTCATCTTGATTTGTGCCAACATAGAAGCGTTGTATCGTCTGCATGCATTGTGAGTTTTGTGCAATTGGTTAGTTGAAAATTATTGACATACACTATGTACAAGAATGGGCCTAGCACTGATCCTTGTGGAACTTCACCATGCATTGTAATTTGCATTGTAACGCATGTTTGATCTGCATCTGTTTATAGTGTTATTTTCTAAGTAGAGTGTTTTTGTAGATTGTTGGTGATCAGAGATAAATAATTGCGGAAGATTATGGGCTATTCCCCTTATTCCACATTTTTCTAGTTTGTCTAAGAGTATGGTAAGATTTACTTTATTGAACGCTTTGGACATATCCATAAATATTCCACTAACCTTCAATCCACCATTAAGCTTGGTTAGAATAGTATTGTACAAATCTGTGATTGCAGTGATGGTTGAGCGTCCTTTCCTAAAACCATGCTGATAGTTTTACAGAAGTGAGTTTTATTCGAAATATCTTATCAGCCTATTTAAAAAGACCTTTTCTGTTATCTTACCAAATGTTGATATAAGTGATATTGATCTATAATCTGATGCCATGTTTGTCTCACCATTGTTAAAGAGAGGTTTAATTATTTAAAATTTAATGATGTCTAGAAATATTCCATTTTTAAGTACAGAGGTAATTAAATGTTCCAATGGAAATATTACTGAATTAACACATTTTTTAATGCCATAATTGATATCCCATTCCACCCTGTTGATATTTGTTTGGTAATTTCATTATGATATTTTCTATCTCTTTAGCTATTGTTGGATGTAAGAACATGGAATTTGTAAGTGCACTATATGTTGTTGTGTTTTCTACACTTCTTATTCTGTTGTTGTAAAATTGGTTGAGATATTGATGTAAAGTAACAGCTAAAGTTTTCATTTATTTTATATGGATCTGTTACTGTGACTCCCTCATTGTTTTTTAGTTGAATGTTTGTTATTCCATCCCTGGATTTGTGTCTGTTAACAATTTCCCACACTGCTTTATTTATGTTATCAGAATTTTCTAACCTGTTACATACTGCATCTTTCTTATCTTTCATTAGTAGATTTTGGTATTTTTCTTTTAATTCTTTATATTTAAGGTGATATATTTGTAATTTTGTTCCTCTATGAAATTTATGCCAGATGATAATTTTCCTCTTAACAGTTTGTGTTTGTTGGGATAAAAGAAATTTGTAATTTTTGCAATTTGTATACTTATATATCACTGGGCAAGTAGAGTTGAAAATCATTTAAAATACCTCCATGAATGAGTTCTGTTTATCATTACAATTTTCTATTTCTTAGAAAAGTCTAATCTTGTGCTTCTAAAAGTCGACCTAGTTTTTGTATGTTTGTGTCTGGCATTAATCTTGTGATTTGTTTTGTGTTATTGCTATGTTTTTGGTGTTGTGCTTGATGTCTAATGTATATAGCATAATGATCAGAAATGTCTGTATTCAGTACACCTGCTGTGCTCTCCCTCTCATCTAAATTTGTAAATATATTGTCTATTAAAGTGAAGGAGTGAGATGGTTCCCTGGTTGGTGCTTTTACTGCAAATCATAGTCCAAATGAAGTTACTAAATCTTTAAAAGTACAAGTAGCAAAACCATCATTTCCAATGTTTTTTATTAAAATCTTCCAAGATAAATATTGAAAGCGATGTGTATTTGAATAAATTCATCATCAGCTTTTCAAAATTAATAAAGAAACTCATAAAATTAATATTAGTAAAAGAGAAGATTGTCATATTATGGTAGTTGGAGAGCAAACTGCTAAGGGGCCGTCCATAATTACTTAGTGCTAATTTTGAGTATTTTGAATACTCCTTCTCCCTAATGCACCTGTAACACATGCTTGATCTGCCCCCAAATAATTACATAATGCTTGCGACAATGTCCCCTCCCCCATTTACTAGAAGTAAAAAATATATATATTACATAAAAAAAATTGTATTAATATATATTAAAATTTGTGATAATTTAAGTCAGAGTTAATTGTCTACACCTAACAATTAATCTGGGGACAATTTTTAGGTGAAGAAAGAACGCTTATACATGAAAATGTTTGACGACAAAGCCATTCACTCACTTGATGATGACAACAAAGACAATGTCGCTTGGGTAAAGTCTATGTCAATTTAATTGGATTCTAGAATACAGATAAGTTTAAAATATTTTCTTCATAATCCTAGAGATTGAATCAAAAAATTAATGAAACTATTTCCATTTATTCTAACAATGTACACATAATCACTTTCATTTATTTAATTTTTTAAAGTATATTTAGTTAATTCTTGATTGATTGTTAGTATGTCATGAGGGTACGTCATCTACGGAGGTCATTAGTCCCGTAAGTATAGTGCATGTGATTTTGCTTGGTAGGTAGTAAAGGAAAGCAACAAAGAAGAGGAAGGTAAGATCGCGTGTAGTCCATGTTTTGTTTGTTAGGGTACTGTTCCAGCTTTTGGCTGGGATTGATCGGAATACCAAGAAAAACTACTGATCAGAGCAGCTGGCCGCTAGAATTCACAGAATTTTCTTTGAGACAGCAACTAAATTTGACCTAAATTACTTAATATTTTAGTGTTTTAGTATAAGACTGAACAAAAATAAATAATTTCAGCGAATGTTAAAAAATAATGTTATGTAACATTAAGCTAATCCCCCCCCCCCCCCTTCCCCTATGTATCGTAGCATAACTCTGCCTCAAACCTCCTCCATGTTTGGTCTTACGTAATTTATGGATGACTCCTAAGTCAGATGCCTGGTGTCTATATGGGGTAAGTGTACATATTCATTTTCATGGGAAAATACATGGGCAGTTTCCACCTTCCAATGTCTACGGTACTAAGCATGAATAGAGAAAGTGTCCAACATTTGGCAAATTATGTTTTAATTGTAAAAGCTTTTAATCGTTATGCAAAAGTGTGCCCAAATAAACAAAGGTATGAAGTGAACAGTGGCAGTATGAACAAGAAATTTAAAGCGGGTCAAATTAATTTAAATAAATCAGTAAATAGTATTGATTGTAATAACTAGAGCCAGGAAGTTTGGCAAAATGACTTTTTATTGTTATGATTTGATGACTTTTAACAATAGGAATCATTTAATTGTACCTCTGGGGTTGTTTTAGTAGATTTTCCTTTTGCCTATTTTAGCTTTTGATGCCTATTTTTGCTTTTTGGCCTTATTTTTGCCCTTATTTTGTTTTTTTTCTTCTGTCTCTGATATCAGTCAAGCTGGAAACACACCTGCAAGCCTGGATAATATGAAGGCATGGTGATGTTTTGTTAAAAGCCTAAGTGAAAAAGGAAGATGATGCCATTATATGATATACCCTCTTCAGTGCTACAACAAAAAATATACTTCCATTTTCACTGTGCCGTTTCAAGATTCAAGACGTTTTGTGTCAAAAATTCGCCGTTTTTTAGTTTGCAATAACAATACTTTCTCTTCTTATGTTCGTAAGGGCGAGAAAGTTCAAGTTCCACAATAGCATTTCAAAGAGATAGTGTCCCAAGTAAAATCAATTTGTGGCTATCACACCGGATGGCCATGTGGAATCAAGATTACAAAGAAAAGGTAGTTTCCTTCCATGTGAGTTCTAACGTAAGTTTTAGAGTCAAAATAAAAATGTGAATCATCTTATTCATTTTTTACACTAAATTTAATTCATTTTGGAATGTTTTGTGTGTTTTACCCCCTACTTTGGCCAGAATAAATGCCTTTTTTGCATGTCTGTTTTAGTAAAAATAAATGTCTTTTAGCCTGCCTATTTTAGGTACAATAAATGCCTGAACTTTGGGCTCTAGTAATAGTGATTGGTTCCAGATGGTAAAAGTAGGCAATAATGTGTAGTAGTAGTTCCAAATGGTAGAAGTAGGCAACAAAGTTTAGTAGTACTAAGGAGTATCCTTTGTAAACCGTCCTTTAGTCCTACGTCCATCTTTTATTTATTTGTCACAACAATATTTTTGTGCCTTTGTTTATCATCAAAAACAAATTATAAACAATCTCGTTCATTCACTCTGTTAACCTAATATTTCTAGTGTCCATTATTGGGAAATAACACCAGATGAACCACAAATAATGTACCCTATTTATTCTGAGGATAAGACATGTAACATATCAATATATTTTTAAATTCTGAGATGTAGTATCAGATGGTCATTTGTGCATGGGATGATTCAAGTTATTCTCATTGTTTATAAATTATGTATTTCAAAAAAGAAGAGACAATTTGCCACTGATTTATAAAGGATGTCATATTAATACAAAAGTAAGAAAGGAAACCAAATGGTGTGAAATAGTTCTTTACTTGAGCATGCTCAGTAAGGTTGTAATCAAACGTTTAAAATAAAAATTCAGAAGTGATTTGCCTCATCATTGAATTACTTTTTGTTATTTTCCTTGTAAGAAGTAATGCGATAATTGGATAGGTTAGGGATGAGAAGAAAGAAGTTTTAGTTTTTAGAATAATTTTTATTATTTTAAAAATATTACATTGTAAACGTGTACAAATAATATTTACATTGTTGTACACCATGGCCATCAAAAATAATAATGACCGTGAACAGATTTCAAACTTCCAACACCGCAAATTTAGGAACATGAATATTGTTTACCAGACGTTCCAACAAATGTTGCATACAAGTTTCCGATTTATTTTAACCAAAATTTTGGACGTCATACCGGACGGTAGGAGCGTCCATAAAGATTAGGTCTCCCAACTGAATATGACGTCAGCAGAAGAAGTCATGAACTTACGCCTTCTTTTCAAAACCCGTTAAAAACAAACTTAATTGGGTGATACATTTAAAACAAAAAGTCTGCTGCGGTGACGAAATACTGTACGCGATCAAACGTTAAATCAGAATAAATAACAGAGGTTCAGAATTCGTAGTTAATCGCCGTTACAATCCTCGCCTTGAACAATAATCATGCTTCACGAGTTCGACTTCTAGTGGTGACGTCATTCTAGGTGGCCATGTTTGCATCAGGCCGTTCTCCCAGTCAGTCAACTCGTTGGGGTGGCCGAGTTGATTGTTGGTCGCGATCCGGTCCAAGCTGATGGCATCCCATTCAGCTTGCACCGGAGGGGTTTCCTTCTTCTCAGCTGAAGGCCGTTTCTTGGAATGCTCGACTCCCGGCAGCGGCCATGGCGGCAGTGGCGGTGGCGGTGGCGATGGTGACGGCGGTGAGGCCGTTGTCAGGTGGCGGGGAGCAAGGGGGCAATGCGGCCTCAGGAAAGGACGGACTCTGGACCGCCGTTTAGTACACGTGGGCTGCAACACATCAACAGCAATCAGCAAGTGTTGTCAAAGACAAGGAGAGAAATGTTTGCGACGAATTTTCCCAGAGAAACATTTTAGGAAGTAAAATTTCCCTTAGGGCCGCCTTTTAGTACTTCACGGACTGAAACATTCGGGAAATCAGCTAGTGTTGTCCAATATGTGAAGACTAATATACACAAACGTTAGCAACGATTGTTCCAGGAAGAGATTTTAGCAAGTAAAATTTCCATCGTGTCAAAATTTCTTTAAAAGCTACGTTTAGAACATGCTACCGAAGCAAAGAAGCTACCGATGAGAATTGCAATACATCAAAGACAATACAGGAAATTGCAAGAAGTTTGCCTAGAAAGGTATTTTAAGTAGTAACATTTCCTTTGGTATCAACATTTCTCTCAGTCTCATAGCTAAAAAGGGCGGATGAACATTAACGTAAGATTTTCGGAGAAATGAAGTTTAACGAAGGAGCGTTATGGGTGAATATATTGTAAAACTATTTTTTAGTAATCTGTTTGTTGTTGAAGATTACAGTTAAAGAATAACCCGAAAACCTTATCCGATTAAGACTTTCTTCTCTGTCAGGTGTCAGTACTCTGATTCCTTACAGTCTTTCAAGAGACGTGAAATACTATACCCATTTCCGTGAATTATATACCCCTAATAAGTTTCCCTTGTTTTTGCTTATGCCCTGAAAGTCTCATTTCCCCTCGTCTCGTGCCCATGAATATCTTCAACAAATAATTTAATTTTCCCCGCTCTATAAAATATTACAATATCAATTATTGTTGTTGGAACGTAATATATTATAAAAGAAAAATGTTGATGTGATGAAATGAACATAATTTTATTAAATGTCTTGAATTCTGGAATAATGCTATATAATAGAGCCACAAATGTACTCTTTCGTGAGTCTTTTGTGAAATTTAAGACAAAAACTGAAGGGACTCTAAAACGTACAAACATATTACACTAAAATATTACGGGATGGAAATGTCACATATTTCTCAAGTTCATCATGAAAGAGAAGAAATTCATTCATGCTAACACAGGATAATTAACTTAAAGGATAAAAGAGCAATCCGAGTTTTTGGAATTAAGAGCAGAGACATTACTCATTATGATTATAAACAAAAAGTGATGCAGGTTTCTTATGGCAATCCCAAGAACAATGGGGGTTGTTTCGATAGAATAGATGACCAGGAAATCATCAAAGTCGGGCACTAACGAAGTGTAATGCTGGGCTCAGTCGTATCATATTCTGGGCGCAACATGACTTCTGAACATGCTGGAGTTCCAGGGTTCAAAACGGATATATGGTGTGTTGCGTGCAGGTGAAGTTCCGGTAGATGTACCAGCATTTGTACGAAACGTGTTTGGAGAATGGAGCTCATGCTTGTGGTCGAGCGTGATCCTTATCTCATAGAAATACATTCAAAGCTTCCTTTATTTCTTTTGAGGTCAGTAGTCAGAACTGCTGGGGTTTTCTTTCTTATCTGCGAAGGGCAGACAAAAACATGAGATACCCGGCAGTACCTGTGCAATCATTGTTGTTACGTCGTTTGGTCAGAGATCATGTCATATCATGTGTTTTGTTTCTACAAATTTTCGTGTATTACCAAAAATGTACATACCTTCTGAGTATGTAATGTGTAACGATATTCAAAGTATTTTGCTCAGATATTGTTGGTTGTGTAGCGGGAGGTCGGATTATATCGTACTCATGCTGTAACTGCCAGAATTTATTTTCGAGGAACATCAACAGGGTCGATATTGTTTTTTTGTTTGTTTTTTTTGTCTGAGAAAGTATCGTCTCACTGTGGAAAATTGGGATCTCTCTCCAGTCGGTTGATAGAAGAAACGTAGTTGTCAATATATGTAGGTCGATGGTTATGGGTTGTCCTAAGTCACTGATTATCAGCTTCGAATTGGAGGGTAAGTTTTGCTCTTTGGTCTTTGCTGGGAGCATATCCATCCTTGAACATCGTCTGAGAAAGAAATGCTCATTTGAAAAAAAAAAAAAAGAAAAAAAAAAAAGAAAAAAAAAGTGTCTTTCCTATAAAATCACGATACGTGGGCATCTTGAGGTAATCTGCAAAACGTGTTGTCGAATGTTGTCGATTGTCTGCAACTACGTCTTTGGCGGATGCCGATTCTTGCGCATAGCATAACGAAATGAGTGCGATGTTTCTAACAGATTACACGAATTAACAGATTATACTCTTTTACCTGGGCCCGACCGCATTGCGGGCCCGAACGTTACGGTTGTCGGTTGTCTGTGATGGTAGGTAGCGGTAAAATGCCAATTGTTGAAAGTTGATAATTATTAACAATTGATACTTTTTTGTTTCCTCACGATAGTTGTCAATTTTTAGTGGTTGTGAAGAGTCGGCGGTTGTTGAGTGTCAGAAGTGGCTGTTTGTTTTTTGATCGGAGGTCGTCTATTTTGAGCGGTTGGAGTATTAGGAATTGTCGGCAATTAACAGTTCACTGCACTGATAGTGGTCGATAGTTGACCGTTGCGAGATGTGAGCAGTTGTGGATTTCTGGTAATCTGCAGTTCGCGGTTGGCGGCAGCGACGATTGTTTCTAGTCAGCAGCTATCAGCGGCAAAAACGGCTATTGGTTGTCGGCATTGACGGTTATTAACAGTTTTTGGCATTTACGGTTGTGAATAATCGTCAATAATTATAGGTCGGTAAGTTTGTAAGTTTTCAGCGATCGTGGAATTTTGGCGTTTGATAGTTGTCGGTTGTCAGTTTTCGGCTGTTATCGACACTTATATTTTGTCGGTTGTCAGACGATTGTTGATTTTTTAGTAATTGTTGGCTGTTGGTGGTTCACGGTTTTTGGCGGCTGGCGCATATTGGTTATCGGCGGTAGTCGAATGTTGGTTGTTAGCGGTTGTCGATTGTTGTCGGCAGTTGTCGGTTGTCGGTGGTTTTCTGCTACCGGTTGTCTGTTTCTGCTGTCGGTTGTTTCTGCTATTGGTTGTCGGCGCTTATACTTCCGTCCGCTCCGAACATGCTAGGACCCCGTTCCGTGCATGGGGGGGGGGTGGGAGGGGGAGGGGTCGGGTTGGTGGGCGGTTGGCTGGGGAAGGAGGGAGGGGTGAGGGGGGGGGGATAGGAGAGCGTGCGTCCTACCACAGCGGGGCGTGCGGGGCAACGATGGCGCGGTGGGCGGTGGCGGAGGGCTCGCGCAGGGGGTCGGGGGGCGTGGCGTTGAGGCAGGGGCGGGGCCGGCAAACGGGGGAGCGGTGCGGTGGGGGGGCGGGGGCGGCCTAGATTCCCACCAGTTCGACGAGGCGCAAAGGGGTGTAGCCTGGAACGCAGATTCGCGGGGTGGGCGTGAAGAGCCTCGGTGCGCTCCAGGCAGCGCAGCGTGGTGATGCGGGATAGGGCGGCGTCGAGGTGCGCCCACGCCCTCTCGTGCGGGCTCAGCCCCGGCAGGGAGTACGGGATGGTGTAGAGGCGGTGCGCGAACACGGGCAGAAACGGGGCGTTGGGCGAGCGGAGGGGGGTCCCGTCCAGGTGCCGGCCCAGCTCCGAGTCCCACCACAGACCTTCAACAGCACCCGCCCCGTCAGTCGCGCGAGGCGAGCAGGGCCTAGGGTTCGAGCCCCGACGGGGCAGGGTTGTCGACACTACCCGGGTCGCTGTTTGGAGAAGAAGCCTAGAAGGCAGGCTGCTCCGGTCGGTTGTTTTTGCGTGATTCCTCCGATCCACACCAGGCGAATGCCGGAGTAGTTCCCTAACAAACGGGCCACGAACCGCGCGCGATCTTTCCTTCCTCGTTCTTGTCCTATTCTCACCCCTTACACTTACACTTACATCTACTACACTACCACAGATGTCGGGAGCTTAGAGTTTGTCCTGGCTGGGGCGGTGGGAGATACCTGTCGAGGGAGACTAGCGAGCCTACTTGTTGGTCCGTGCCGTATCTCCCGCGATAAAACCTTTACTTCTCTAACTACAAGTCGGGATCCTATATAAAACTGCCATAGTAGTTGGCGTGCCCCGAAACACATATCAATCAATCAATCATTCAAACAATTCAGCCTCACCCGATGCCTGGCACAATTGCGAAGGAAGGTCTTCTTTGTTTAGCTGCATTATACGCGTTTTCAAACGTAATTTTGTTTTGAGTAGCATTGGCTTTGGGAAGTGAAGCTTCATTCAAGAATGATCTTTTCCGAGTACCACCTTAGATCATCAACAGCACCCCCGAATGAGTTGGGCTCCTTGCTGCTGTCTATGCACCCTCTGACTCGGAGGGCCTAGGGTTCGAGCTCTGGACAGGGGTGGGGTTTTATTTCCGCTTTTTCTGCTTTTAATTGTGAGGTAAAGATAATTCCATTTAAATGCAACCGAATAAAAACGAGATTCATTTATGGGATTTTTTTTCGAAATTATAAACACAAAATACATTGTTATGACATTCCTTAAATGGAAGATCTCAAAATGTTTTTTAAAGTACCCCACCTGCTTGACTCACCACAGATGGTTGGCCAATTTACTCGAAAGGTAAGACTTTCAGTAGAGTATTTTTAAAAAACTTTATGTGGTACGTATATCTTCTTGCAACTTTTCATCTTTCTACGTGAATATAAATTTGTAAATGGCTTATTTTTAAATACTTTCCAAGACAAACTATAGACATATAACTCCTGTATGAATTGTTTACATGCTTCCCAAATAAACTTTGTTTTTATTAGTCTACAGTTTTCGCTTCTTGAACGTACAACATTTGTGTTCGTTTCTACGAGCACTTTCTTCCTAACGTGAAGCGTGAAGCACATTTGGGCTATTTGCCTTTCTAGCGCTTGCTACGAGTATAAAGAGTGTATGCATTTATATGTTTAATAGGAAATTCATATTATTTTAGAATACGTATTTTCTCATCCATGCGAAATCGGGTCTGTTTGTTTGCCTTTTCGATTGTCTCCTAGATGTCGCCAGCTACCACCCCTCGCCTCACACTGCCAGGCGAACGCAACCTGACGGTGTTTATTGAAACTAAATCGCTTTTGAAACCGTGCTGAGGCTGTTCAAGAACTGCATCGTTGAGTAATCTTTATTCAGAATTGGTTTAAAAACTAATACCAAAGGAGGGATATGGTAGCAGAACAGATATGTCGGGGTAAAGATGTCTGAAAAAATTGTGCTTGAGATTTCCAAATCTGCCAACGATTCCCAACAACCAGGCGTCATTGAATGGTGAGTATTTAGCTTCAGTAATTTATGTGAGGTATTTCTAGATGTCAAATTGTGCTACTGTATCTCACATCACTGGTTCCTCCAAAGAAAATTTTCGACTCGAACTTGCAAAATATCGTTTGACGGCAATAAGTATGTTTCTGTGTGAGATAAAACTATCTTCTTTCTCTACAAATTTAGTATAGCCTTCCGTCTTTCTGCTATGTGTAAATGCTACGTCAACGAACAGTGCTACCACCAATTCTTATTGATTTTTATCTCCCGTTGTAGTTTCAAATTTCTATTCAAAATTAAACGTGTCAAATAATAACATCATTAGAAATTTTACTTTGTATGAGCCGAATCCCATGGCCACATACAAGCGCCCAAGACATGCTGCATTAGGCAAAACGCCAATACTTGCAAGAAAATTACGGGAAACAACGCCAAAGCCGCGCCGAACGGCTATTGTATTTCCTGGCGTATATTTTCTATGTTACAGATCAGTCATAAATGTCCGAAAGGATGGCAACCCAGCAGGGAAGTGTAGCAGAGATGAATTTTTCTTTATATTTACAAGTACTCATACTGAAGGTAAGGTGGGATTTTATATTTTTATTTTTTAAAATGTAAGATTCGTATTCTTAAATAATTTGGTTTGTTCTGGGCCCTAGATCATGCAGTATACTAGATTCGTTCTGCGAAATCTATTGAAATGTAGAGTCTATTTTTTTAGTTTTAAAAATATTTCTTTAGTTTTTATCCCTTATACACTAAAAATAGAGGTTGAACGCATACACGTTTAAGATTAACACCTGATAACTTATTTATGAATATGGGAATTGGTAAAACTTCATTATTTTAACAGGTTTAGATAAAGGATTGACCATTTCCAAATAAATTTTACACTAATGCAGCTTTATACATTTGTAGAACACTCAGTACCTATAATGGACTGAGTATACTCAGTATACTTCTATAGTGAGTATACTTATTCATTGCAATAAGAATAAGTATAATTCTATTTACAATTAACTTCATTACACATTATTATATTTTATATTAATAATTAAATATAATATTATATATTATTATATTTTATATTAATTATTAAATAAAATAATATTTATAATTAATATATTTATAATACATATTAACTTTATGACATGTACAATGTATTTCTTCTCTATGGAGTTCACCTTGAATCTCTTAATATTAATGGTCAGTACAATCTGCAAAATCCTTGTTAATGTCTCAAAAACAATTAAGGGATACTTATTAGTTAATCCCAGGTCTCTCAGTTAAAACGTTTTAAAATCCCATGGTTAACACTGCACAGTAAAAAACATTAACAGTAACACTTGCGTGAGAGCTCTGCAAGATTTGAAGAAGTTTGAGAGAAGATTTTCGAAGATATGGTTAAGACAACTTCGTTCTGCAAAGTTAGTGCCTGCTTTGTAAGTTTGGAACTCTCACCATAATTCATGGGAATAAGGATCTTTATTAATTTACATTTTTAAAAGTAAGTTATTCTGCGTTACTGAATTTTTCGTTGTTTCGTTATTTGATGTGGAGTTACTTCACTCCTAATTTACGTTAGAATCACGTTCTGTGGTGGGCACAAACCAGAAACTTGAGGATTTGGGGTCTTTTCGACCGTGAATTTAATGCAGAAGTAAATAGGGAGATCTGTTTCCCATAATGGTTTTCGAATTTAAGAGAAAAAAAATTCCATTGGACGGGACCCAAGAAAAACAAGGCGTTTTTAAAGGAAGAATTAATATGGACAGGATTTTCAGAAATAATGGAATATTAAGAGATTAACTGCGACAAAATTATTTTCTTTAGGAAATGAAGTGAGTGTAGAGTACCTACCAAATTGTTTAAAAGAAATTTCCATTTCACGACGATATTATTTTTTTAACATGTACATTTATCAAAGGAAAATAAAATGAAATTTGTGTAAAAATGACAAAACTGGAATTTTTTTGAGAGAGTATAAAAAATTCTTTTTTTTATGGTGTTTAAGGAGATGAAGTTGCTAGAGGCTAAATAGAGTTATTTTTTAAGTGTTCGTAAAAATTATTACATTTGAACGAGACTTTCTTAATAATTCCTTCATATCTTATCGCTTTATTTTTAGTTCGCTTTCTTTCGCTTATATTTAGTAATGCTCAATTTTTGTTTGTTTCATAAATATGTATATACTTCGTTTTCACATTTACGACGACTTGCTGACATGATTTCCTTTTATAAAGCCAATTTTTGTACTACTTTGTGTTCACATGACAACTCGCATATCATGACAACTCGTGACGACTCGCATATAACGAATTGGACTATTTGCCGATATTAAAATCATGAAGGAAGTTATCAAGTGGAATCTATCTTATTTTCATGAGTAGAAGCGTCATTAATTTCTGAAAGAGCGATTTTAAACAAAATTGAAAAAAGTATTTTAATAGATTATGATGGCGTTAGCAATGCTGGTGAGTGATCCGCATGTATTTTACCTCTTGTGTTCTAGTAGTACAACGAGAGGTAGGGGCGTGCAGCGTATGCAGAATATCGCCACCATCCTGGAGATTTGATATTATTGAGGATTATAAAATAAAGGACAATATTGTTGTGATCCATGGTATTTAAAAGGGAAACAAGAAAATGCACTTGTACATATTTGTAGATAAAAACTGCTTTTCTGTGAATGTAGTAAAGATAAATTTGGGAGTCTGAAAAGGAAACAGAGAAATGGTGCAATTATTGTTGTATATACATTCTTTCGGAAATGAACTTTCGAGAATGTCCGTAGGCTGCTTGTGAACTGACACTTTCTGCCACTCTCCTCTCTTTAGATGTAATCTGGTCCTTCTAATTCGTTACTGTTTAACAGAAATTGATTACACATGGGGTACAGGATCCTCTCTCTGTGGAAGAAACATAGTTGAAAATAATAAGTCTGAATGAAACCGCAAATGGAATTTACAGTTGCAAATAAAGTCCTTTTCTAAAGAGTAAAATCTAAAATCAATTACCTAATACCGAATTTGGAAATTAAAGTTTTAAAATCATGTAGAATTTCGTCTGAGTGCAACGTGAAATTTCACATACGTTGTAATGAACACCTTGTAAGAACAGCTTTTTGAATCTTACGCCATTCACATTACGTTTTGATTAACTATCAAAATGTCGGGGTAATCAACAATAACGAATTTGGGCTTTAGGACCAAAAATCCGCGGTTCGGTATAGTGCCGTAAATTACTATTCTTTCTTTAGGTAACCACTGTAGTAACCACTCTGATAAAGCACAACAGTGTGATTTTGGCAAATCAAAGGCTTTTGGCAAAGCACCGTAGAGTGCTAGAGCCAAAGAACCATGGTTTTGGAAAAATACCGTAGTGCTTATAGTAAAGCACAACAGTGAGTTTGGCAAAGCACCGTAGCCATTGACAAAGCTCTATAGTCTGCTTTTTACAAAGCTCCATAGTGTGCTTTTAGTAAAACACCATAATCTCGTTTTGGCAAAGTAATGTGGTGTGCTTTTGGAAAAGCAACATAGTGTGCTTTTGGAAAAGCAACATAGTGTGCTTTTGGAAAACTTACCGCAGCGTATTGTTTGAAAAAGAACCCTAGCATGCTTTTTGGAAACAGCACCGTAGAGTGCTTTTGGAAATAGCTTGGTGTGCTTTCGGCAAAAGGCACAGTTTCGGCACAGTTGAACGCTTTTGTCACAGCACCGAACTACGCTATTAGTAAAACATTGTGGTGCTCTTTTAGCGAAACATCGTTGGGTGCTATTGTCAAAGCACTGTAGTGTGCTTTTGGCCATTCATCATCATAGTGTGCTTTTGGTAAAGCACCGTAAGGAGCTTTTGACAAAACAGCATCATGTGCTTTCTCCACAGCACCGTAGTGTGCTGTTGGCAAAGCACTGTAGTGTGCTTTTGGCCAATCATAAGTGTGCTTTTGGTAAAGCACCATAAGGAGCTTTTGACAAAATAGCATCATGTGCTTTCGCCACAGCACCGTAGTGTGCCAAAAGCATCGTAGTGTGCTATTGACAAAGCACTGTAGTGTGCTTTTGGCAAATCATCATCACAGTGTGCTTTTGGTGCAGCACCGTAACGTGTTTTTGACAAACCAGCGTATTTTGCTTTAGCCACAGCACCGTACCGTGCAATCGGTAAAGCACCGTAGTGTGCTTTCGGCCGAGCACCCTGTCGTGCCGTGACGCAATCGCCCTCCCGCCCGAGGTGGCGGCGGCGCGTACTCACCGAAGGGGCGGATGGGGTGCTTGCTCCACAGGTAGGAGCGCTTGACGGGCGACAGGTAGGAGTCGCGCAGGTAGAAGGGCGCGTGGCTGGGCAGCGACCACGGGGAGACGTAGGGTCGCAGCTCGGGGTATTCCCACCACCAGGGGTCGCGGGTGATGCGCGACATGGGCAGGCTGGTGAGCGGCTCCAGCAGCTCAGACAGCGGCCGCCGGGTGATGCCGCCGCGGGTGTAGATGGGCTGGCCTGCGGCACGCAACGAGGCCGGTTCGGTTGGGTACGACATTCAATGACTCGTTCATTGAATCAGGTGTTTTGAATATGTTGTCGGCTGTTGCCTCGTTATTAATGTTACAAGTAAAAATATTTAGATCTTTTTCCCCCACACACGTTAATACTATTATGATTGAAAGTGGCGAAGAGTGGAGGAGATTTTGTTTGTCGATTGTTGTACGTTCCTTAGTGCAAAATGACCCAACTGAATAAAGAGGAATCGTTATTTTATGTATTGTAAGGATTGCAAGGTCTCTACGTTCGGCGCCTGTACTTAAAATTATGCTAATGAGAAAATGAATAAAAATTAAGGTACTAAGGTAATCGGGATTAATTAAAATTGATTGAAGTGAACAGAGTTGACGTTACGCAAAGTTTCATGGAAACGTACTGTATCAAAGACAGGTGAATCGAAGATAATTGAATGGAATGTGTTGAATAGGAAGTGGATTGAGGTGAAGCGGATTGAGATGAAGTGAATTGAGCTGAGTTGATCTCAGGTGAGGTGAATTGAACAGTGGGGAGGTGAGAGTTGAAGCGAAGTGGGGTTAAGTTTAGTGCAATTGAGATAAGGTGAATGGAATTCAGGATAAGAGAATCCAGGAGTGAAGTATGCCGTGAAGTGAAAAGAAGAGAAAAGGCGCGGAGCGAAGGGACGTGGATTTGAATGGGCGCGGAGTGAATGGAGAAGGAAGCATGAAGGGGCGCGGAGTGAAGGGGTGCGGAGTGAAGGGGCGCGGAGTTAAGGAGCGTGGAGTGGACGGAGTGTGAAGGGGTGCGGAATGAAGGGGCGTGGCGTAAACTGGGTGTGAAGTGGCACGGAGTGAGAGGCGTAGAGTGAACGGGGTGTGAAGAGACGCGGAGTGAACGGGATGTGATGGTGCGCGGAGTGAACCGGGTGTGAAGGGGCGAGAAGTGAAAAGAGTGTAAAGGGGTGGGAAGTGAAGTCGTGCGAAGTGAAGGGGCGCGGAGTCAACGTAGTGTAAAGGGGTGCGGAGTGAAGGGGTGTGGAGTGAAGGGGCGCGGAGTGAAGGGGCGCGGAGTGAAGGGGCGCGGAGTGAAGGGGCGCGGAGTTAAGGAGCGTGGAGTGGACGGAGTGTGAAGGGGTGCGGAGTAAAGAGGTGCGGAGTGAAGGGGTGCGGAGTGAAGGGGCGTGGCGTAAACTGGGTGTGAAGTGGCACGGAGTGAGGGGCGTTTAGTGAACGTGGTATGAAGAGACGCGGAGTGAACGTGGTCTGAAGGTGCGCGGAGTGAACCGGGTATGAAGGGGCGAGAAGTGAAGTCGTGCGAAGTGAAGGGGCGTGGAGTCAACGTAGTGTAAAGGGGTGCGAAGGGAAGGGGCGCGGAGAGAAGGGGCGCGTAGCCAAAGGGGTGTGAAGTGGCGCGAATGTGTAGGGGCGCATCCTTAAGGGCGAAGTGAAGTGAAGTGAAGTGTCGTGAAGGGGGCTCACCTGCGTAGTTGAAAGCGACCTGCTTCTCGGAGGGCGCTTCCGGGGGCGGGGTGTAGGAGCGGCGCGGCGGCAGCGAGGAGGCGCGCAGGGGCATCGGCGGCACGGAGCCCGCGCGGGGCAGCGGCGACGGGGAGCGGCCGCGCAGCGGCGACAGCCAGTAGGCGCCCGCGGGCCCCAGCCGGTCCAGGCGCTCCAGGCGGTCGCGCCAGGCGCGCGGGTCGATCCAGCTCTCTGCCACACCGCACCAACACCAACGTCACATTGAGCGCACGCGGAGGAACCCTCCGTCAAGGTCGTCTTTCTGTCCCGTAACGTCGCAGTCAATGCCGTTTATCACTTCGGCCCCGTTAGTTATCGGGGTTCCCAGATGGTCACCCATCCAGGAATACGTGGTATGTCGAGCTGCTTCTCTTCTGTGAGCGTTTCAACTCTCTACCACAGCCTCCATCACAATTACAATTGGGCATACATACATCTATATCTGTTTGAAGGTCTTTTTGTCTCGAAACGGTGCAATAATTGCTTTTTATTCCTTTGGCAGGGGTTCGGCGTTGTTAGTAATTAGGGTTACCAGATGGTCACCCATCTAGGAAACTGTGGTATCTCGATTTGCTTAACCTCCGTGATTTTACGGGGCCATCCAGATTTCTGGACACTCTCCACCACAACGTTGAGCGGATATGTATCTATATCTAATTGGAATAATTCTACGTTAATTCATCTTTTTTCCTCGAAACATCGAAGTCAGCAATTCTCTTTTATCCCTTTGGACACGAGCTCGGCGGTGTTAGTAACTGGGATTCCCAGATGGCCACTCATCCATGGTCCAGCTGATTAACTTCCGTGACTTCATGGAGCGTTACAACTCTGTTACACCCACCACCACTACCATATTGAGCGTGAATTTATCTATACTTATTTGGAGTAATCCTTCGTTAAATTCGTCTTTTGTCTCGTAACGTCACAGTAAGTAATTGCCTTTTAACCCTTCGGCCAGAGTTTATGCGCGCCGTTTGTAACAGGCGTTCCCAAACGGTCGCCCATCGAGGAAGCCGCGGTGTCTCGAGTTGCTTTACCTCCATGACTTCACGGAGTGATACAGCTCTCTGCCACACCTACCACTTCCATCACCCGCCGCTCTCGCTATCCAGCGGGGAAAGATCATCGCCACCTCCCGAGGGAAAACACATGCACTTCCCTTACGGGACTAATGAACTTAGAAGTGGATGCGCCCGGTATCACTATTGATCAATCAATCAACGAAAGAAAATCGAACGAACGTTCATCAATAAACATATACGCTTTACGAGGAGGTGTGATAAAGTATCTTTCGCGGCGGAGGGATACTTTTCTGAAGAAAACAGGATGTTCACTTACTTTGCGAACTGCCTTTTGATTCTACCTAAGACACATTGATTCATTCAGTTTTAGTATAGTGGAACTTGGAGGGTTCGTGTCGCAGAAGCTAGTTTATTTGTTTTACTTCATAGGGGTCTGAGTTCAATTCACGAATAACCCATGTAGAATTATGGTTGGTAAAGTGGGCACACCATAGGGTTTGTCGAGGTTTTCCCATTTCCCTTATCTTGCATTGTTTATTTTGTGCATCATCAATTACCTCACCGTATCTATCATCTATTTAATAGATCATCACTTGTGGACTTAAATGACCTCAGCATTGAATAGCTCTAAACCCAAATAAACAAAATACTGTGAAACTTTCTCAGCTCTCTTTCACAAACCTCCTTAAACTTTATATTACAGGTGTACTTTACTTTACAGGAGTAAAAAGAGTTAGATCGCTTCAAGATCTATTAAAAATATGCGTTTAGACAGTGCCTAGTTTCATTTAAATTCTTATTCACAAAGTCCTTAGATCTGAACGCAGTCGCACGTTCTGAGTAACTCGGGAGATATGAGAAGTTTCTCTCAAAAAGTATTTCGCTCCTGCGGAAACCTCTAATTCAAAGTCAACCTCGTTTCTTTGAGAACATCAGCTAAAGAGGTCCCCTTTCTCCAGAAGAAATCACATATCCGGGAGGGGTACCAAGTTCCAGAAGAGACTTACATTCCGAGAGAATTTACCTTTATTGCAATCATCCTCTATTTCTCGAATCATTCACGTCACGGAGGATACCATACATTCAGTGCATTCATTAATACACTCGCAGCATATCGCTTCAGCGGTAATCTCATTTTCACATGCGTACTAGTTTCACTGCAAACTGGAATTCAAAAGCTTCTTAGCTTTTCACGAAACCACACGTTTTAAGAGAGAAGAGCTCGCGCCAGCATTCAATATAACGAATTCGGGGGAGAACCAATCTTGAATCCAGAATCACAAATCTCGTTCTTCATAACGGAAAATACAGAGAACTTCACTTCATAGGGGTTCTTTCATCCAATATCCAGAATTCAGACGGACTCTTTAATTACCAACGGACCATTAATACAACGTAATGAATTTCGGGAGAAGTGCATTGTAAATCCTCAGATAGTTGGTTGCAATCAGTCAAATTGTTCGTAGTGTGCAGAAATGAACGTAGTTCTTATTAAATAACGGTCAGGTTTGACGATTGTGCAGAACATTTCTTAAGCATTCGTCCTCGTTCCTATTTCGGATGTCGCATTGACTAATTGCAGCAATCGTTGCAGGCGTGTCTCTTGCAAATTAATCAAAGAACATTGAAAACATGGAAGATCAAAATATTTAATACACTCTGTTATTTTTGTTAACTGCAACCGATTCTGATGGTCGAAGTGACATTGGTAAAGAGTTTGGGATGTGGGTTTACAATAATTTTTAAAACAACTATTTCACGATAACTGACGTGTAATTTTCATCGTAAAATGTAGGCTAGAGAAACATACTGTAGATGCCGCACTTAATTCAGCATTCTTTTTTGTAAAGAAGTAGCCAAGACTTTGCTACGCGAAATAGATTGATTGGAATTTGGTGGTGGAAGGCGGATAGCGACGGCGTGCCATAGCAATGAAATGTGACAGTGACTGCAGTGGAGTTCTTTGAAGGGGTAATATATGAAATTGGGTGCGAGAAAATCCACAAATGAGTGTACAAGTAAAAATAATTTCGTAACATAGGATTCTATTGTCTTTCGTGATTTTGCTACACCAACAAAACGTAAGGGCGTTCTTAGAGGTTGAAACATTCTGCCTCTTTCGTTTTTACATGATTTCGGACAGTGGCGGCTGCTCTTTAAGGGTTCCAAGGTGACACCCTTCCCAGAAAAAAACAACATTGGGGAAAGTTGCAGAAAATATTAAACTTGCAATAAATCGACTCGTTTAATTTATGCATACCACCTGCGCAATTTTTGAGAAAAAAACATAGTTTTAAGTTTCCGGTTAAGCGACAGATAAATGTTTTTTAAATGAGTCGTATCGTGGACTATCGTGTGTCCATGGCTGGTGCATGTGAGTCAATGGAAGCTCGAGGAAGAGTCGGGGTATTTAGAGTTGGGTGGGGGCAGCGTACTGCTATTACCGTTCTTCGGCAGAGTCCGCAGCTATTAACTATGCTAAGCACACCGCCTCTTTTATATGATTAATACAATTATTGTTTTGTTTATTTATTTACAGGTTGTAACAAAGTACAAATAATGTTGTCATTATTTCGCAGAAGACATAGTCTTGTGCGCGAACCTGCAATGACTAATCATGTATCATATATGTCTACCTGTTTCATTTATCAATTTTTGAAGAAAAAACAAAATTAAAGAAAAATGAAAGTTACAAAATGAAAAATAATATAAAATATAATATAGTTTGAGACATATTCAGACATTATTCCTTAATCACTGCATGGGTTGATAAAATGATTGAATTACTCAATCATTCAAATCAATAATCCAGGATCTGATACGCTTTCGTTGTCCTCGTGTATTAACATCACAATTTTTGAGTTCTGTACTCAACGCGTTGAATATTTAGTAACAAATATAATAATGCCGACGTCTACTAATTTCTTTATGATTTTTTTTCGGAATGATATCTGTGTTCCTCTTTGTCGCTGTAATAGTTTTATAATCATTATACATAGACTCAACGTTTGTTAATAACGATTTTTCTATATAAAGTTTCTTCACGCTGATTATTTTATTTTCTCTAAATATTATTTCCGATGGAAATAGTTTACTTTTATAATAAATGATCTTTATAATTCGTTTCTGTATATCAATTAACGCTTTCGTATTATTATCGTAGGCTCCACCCCATGCTACAATGTTTGCTGGAAATATTTTTAAAAAATTTATTTTTTCGTGAGCACAATTGTATTTTCAGTTATCAACGTAAAAGTTGTCTTAAAAGTTGGTTGTGACTGAAAGGGGGGTTGGAAACATGCAAATCGGTTGTAGACTACACGCTATAGTTTTCCTTGTTCAAGAAGTATTTCGAAGAAGCGAAATGTACGTGATAGTTCAGACATACGTACACGCCGCGCCGCCTAGTTCACCGGCTGCCACTGACCTTGACGTGTCTGTGACGTTACTCACATGCTTTCGCAATTCATTCGTTTTATTTCGGCAGGTCAGTAACTCCCCGAACATCACATAAAAAATCCTCTTGTGTTTGAAATTGTAGAGATGAAATCCCCCTTCTTCTAGTTTCCCCTTCTTTCCTATCATGTTCGCTCTTGTTATTTGTAATGCATGCTCTCTGTTCATTTCTTGGATATCTTTCTCCCGATTTTATATCTCGCGCATATTCTTTCCTCTTATGTTTTTTTATTTTTCTGTATGTTTCTCTACTTGTTACCTAATCTGTAGATCAAGAGATTCCAACGACGTCGATATAAATATAAAATTAATTTTATAATTTTAATGTTAATCAAGTCTATTTAGTGTTGAAGGTTGAATACCAGCGTAGTAGACATAAAGATACCATTAATTAAAAAAAGACAGTGTAATGAAGTTAATCGTTGCTTAGTTTCCTTCATAAAGCTTCGAAGAATTACCTAATATTCAACTGGATATCCCTGTTCTAGATGGTTTCTTCGTGTGGCTACATTTCGTGTATTTTTATTTTCTTTCTGTCACATTTTTTGTTCTTAATGCTGCAAATATTACTACTCCGTTGTTTAACATTTATTAAATATATATTAATATTGTGATAGAGGATGAATGTATAAATGTATGTATTAATAGATATATTAATATGCAGCGTGTATCTTCGTCTTGTAACGTTTTCCATATTATTTAACTCATACTTTTGTCAAAAATATTCAGGATTATATTTTATGAAATTGTTGAAAGTAATTAAGAACCTCATTGGGCTCATTGGGTGCTACGATTATTTCTTTTTATCTGTTAACTATCAAACCAATTATAAAATAATAAATCATAAAAAATAACTTAAACCACGGGGGGAATCTAGTAAACACTATAATATTATTTATATGCAAATTCAAATATCAGATTTCCTTATTAATTACTTAACAATGTCAATGAAATAAGCAATAAGCAATAAGTGCAATAAGTATTAAGAAATGTAAATAGATCGCATTGGTGAACATAATAAAATTATATGATTTTTAAAATGTTTTGTTAAAACAAGGTTTATAATAGTCCCATTAAAGCACTTGTTTTGTAATAACGCTTATTAAATATATGCAGGTCAGCATTAATCAATCTTTACGTGACTTGATATAAACGGATAACAGATTTTAGAGCCATCTGGAATTCTTTCTCTTATATCTTATGTCATGGATTTAAAATGTTCATAACACTTGACCTATAAAATATCACGAGATATTATTTCTTAAACACTGAACTACAATAGTAAGGGTGCTTACTATTACAGATTTTATGTCCCTTTGTGTAGTGGTACCAACGCTATTAACTACATGGTGGTTGTATTTTCATACCGTGATAACAATGTGACGCTCATCTTGTTAAACAAAATCGTATTTTTCTCATACGTGTACACATTTCCCCCATTTAGGTTTTGCTTTTAGTTCTAATGGTGGTTTACGGGGTTTGATAAATAACTATGTGGGAGATGTGTCACAATGAATTTGTTTATTCTCGACCACAGGTGAATGCAGGTCTCAGTTAAACTTGAACCTTTGATGCCTAATTCTTAACATCTTGTTCAAATTAGAAATCTAAATGTAGAAATATAAAATATAATAATCTTTGCGTTTAGAGAATAATACTTATAGAAAATACGCTATTTTATTAGATACTTTCCAAAATATCCGATATATTGAGTAACCATCATCTTTCACCGCGAACTACTGAGGACAAAATACTATTCCTGCAAACTATGTGAGATTCACTTTTCGAGTGCACTGGGGATATGTGAAAATATCATATGGATATGTTAAATCAGGTAAATTAAATATTTTAAATATATTTCCTTATTTTGTCTTTGAAGGTGACCATAATCACTATCCCACTACTACCTGCATCATTTTTCTTACCTGTTTACTTTAGTCTTACTGCACTTTTCTCACATTTGATATTAATGTAAATATTACAGTGGGGTTCTTACACAAACGGAGAGAAGAGTTTCACACGTGATATGTACACATTCGACACAACAAATTCACATACACAAACACGTACACTCAGCAGAAAAATTCTAAACCACTACTAAAATGTACAAAAAGCATGAGAAAACATCACTCCTCAATCGAAAGTATATGAATAGTGAATGGGAAATTTTCGTCTATTTGAAGAAACAATCTTCCTCTATTCAACGTACATCCGAAACGGTGCATCGTTAGCTATCTACATGAAAACTTTAAAAGGTGAATGGATCTTGGGAGACGTGGGTTGACAGACTTCTCCGATGACAGCTTCTTGGTAAAGACAAAAACGTTAAGATATTTTAAATTAGGGTCTTCATTTATACTTCACTTATTCATTCAGTACTTCTCTTTCTTTGAATGAAGGTAATTCATCTGGGAAGGAAAAGGATAAACTATGTCAAACGTTTGATAAATTTTCACTTTTTCTGATTTTCTCCCACATTTTTTATTTTGCTGTGCTGGCGTTTGACGATCGATCAGAACTTTTGCAAAACTCGTTCAGTATTTGCAATTTGTTTAACCTTTTATTTGTTTATGCTGATTATCTTTTCTGTATTAATTGACAG